GTTATTACTTTATGGAAAAAAATATATATTGGCATATATATCATATATCGCCATTCATCTTAAAATATTGAGATATTCATTTTGGTCCATATCGCCCTGCCGTGCCCTAGTATGTTGTTTTCTCCAGTCTATTGTGGTACGTGGTCTTCTCCAGTCCATCGTGGTATGTGGTCTTCTTCAGTCCACCATGGTATGCGGTCTTCTCCAGTCCATTGAGTCCATCATGGTATGTAATTTTCTCCAGTCCATCATGGTATGTAGTCTTCTTCAGTCCATCGCGATACGTGGTCTTCTCCAGTCCATCGTGGTACGTGGTCGTCTCCAGTCCATCGTGGTACGTTGTCTTCTCCAATCCATTGTGGTACGTGGTTTTCTCCAGTCTGTTGTGATATGTGGTCTTCTCCAGCCCATAGTGGTATGAGGTCTTCTTCAGTCCATTGTGATATGTTGTTTTCTCCAGATCAGTGAAATATTCAGGTCTCTCTTGTAAATGAGTCCTTGTGGCTCAATGGGATTAACCTGTATAAATAAAGGTTGAATGAACATGAACCCAACTATCTGCATGGAAACAAAATGATACATACCATGCTAACAACCATAGCTCCACAGTCTAGTTCTGATCCTTACATGAAGCACTTCTCTGCAGCTTCATACAGACAGCTCTCATGCACGGCCTCCTAAAATCTTTTTTCTTATGAGACTGAACCAGAGTAACAATCACACTATAAAGGTCTTCATGTCTCACAGCATCAGAGTTGGCCTGTCTATTATCATCAATTGTTCTTGTTGTTGTTTAAAATCCTGCAGCAGTGGAGGCTACACTCCATACCTGGGTATCAAGTCTTCTGCTCCTTCCACGGCTCCACGCTCATCAAGCCGAGTGTCACAGGTCTGAGAGGCGTGGTTCAGAGCTCTGAGGTTGGGGATGACAGTCGTTGGTCATTTTTTTTTGCACACTGCAGCTTTAAAAGCACGTCAGGGAACAGGGTGTACTTGTTTTTTACATACAGCCTGTTATCATGGTGATCCATGGTGAACCTACTCTGACAAGAAAACCTCTGAATTTTAGCTCAAGCTGGCTGAGCAGGAAATGTGACATTGTTGTGAACCCCTGAGCTGGACCAGTTCCACACCATCCCCTGTGAGAGCCAGCAACAAGCTCAGTGGTTAGTACTGTTGCCTCACAACAAGATGGTCCTGGATTCAATCCCCGGTTGGACCTGGGGTTTTTCTGTGTGGAGTTTGCATGTTCTTCTCGTGCTTGCGTGGGTTTTCTCCGGGTACTCTGGCTTTCTCCCACAGACCAAACTCATGCATGTTAGGCTGCCTTCAGGCCCAGGCCTCCCTTGCAAAAAAGATCTGTGATCTCAATGGGATTTGCCTGATTAAATAAAGGTTAATAAAGAAAACAGTCCAAAACCTGGGCCAATAGCTGATAGAGGAGGCTATCATGGTCATTTAAATCAGATACAGCTGACGTTTTGCATGAAAAAGGAGGATGAGACTTTATGAAGAAATGGTTATGGTGTTGAAAAAATATGTGACTTCAGTGACTGAAGAAGGAATTAAATATACCGGTTAGGGCTGGGCCATATCATATTGTTCACGATAATAACGGTAAAAAAAAAAAGCTCGTCCGGGCAAAAAAATGATATCATGATATGCTAATTTCATGACGTAATACGTCAGGGCGCTCCGCCCGTTTAACAGAACCGAGCGCGCTGAACAACCAAACCGAACTGCACTCCACCCCCCTCCACCTGTCGGTAATGGTGTAACACTAATTAGTTGTGCGCAATACTAACTAGCTAAAAAGCTAAAAACAAACAACGAGTGGCTCAGCTGTCTCTTCATCCAGCTCTAAACTGCAAGTACAGACAACTCAACTGTCTCTCCCTCCCCCTGCTCTAAGCTGCCACTTGTCTTTTTTTTTCTCTCCCCACTCCGCTCTAAACTGCCGATACAAACATGCGCAGGTCGGTCTCTTATGCCGCTTTTCCACTGTCATGGTGCGGGTCGAATATTTCCAGCTTGACCTGTGTTTGAGGTCTTTTCCATTAGTATTTTGTACCGGCTCACATCTGATATTCTGGCCCTGCTTCTCAAGGGGTCCAAGCGACCCGAGCTGTGATGTCTGAAACACTGTCGGTCACTGATTGATTGGAAGGAGGAGTCTGTGGAGTCTTTCCAAACAACCCGATCCACCATTTTTCTCTATCACCTGCCATTAGCGATAACTCAAGGAGCATATCTTGTACGTAGTTTGAAGATATAAAAAAAAAACCAATAATGTCAAAGCTGTGGTCAAATGCAGAAGTGCAAGTGTTGTGCTTGGTGGCCGATGAAAAAGTCAAAGTGAGCTGGATGGAGCGGTTGGAGGGTAGTTTGGACACGGCCACTGCTCTACTTAAATCAATTATAGAAGATGGCGAGTGTTTTCTAACTTTAAACATATTTCAAGTTACTCATTGGTTCTGAACATATTTTTAACTAACAAAAGAGGATGACGCCATAATAGGACAACATCGGTGCAACAATCCTAAGCTAATTTGCATAAAAGCTAACTGTCCTCCGTTCCTGTTTCTCACTGTATTATATCCAGAACATATTTCAGCGCGTGACGGTTCGTCTCTAAACTCCACATTAAACCCTCCAAGCCG